GAATAATCATTCAATTAGTAGATGGTGTACTGAATCCATATACTGTCTCTATAGGAAATTAGCACTGTAGAAAGAAGTGTGTTCTTTTTCATCCCTCTCTAGAGCGTCCTCCAGGCTTTGACCGTGTCCGAAATGCTGAGATTGGGAATAAAGACTTTGAGCTTGATGTCCTGGAGGAAGCGTATACCACAGAACATTGGCTGGTCAGGATATACAAGGTAAGCAGATGCTATATGTCTCAAAAAGCAACTTTTATTTTGCAGATTGGTTTCAGTGCTTATAAAATGGGCCACATATTTCTCAAGTAGGGAAATTTCTCATGACACCTGTGTTTGAAAAGTAGCTTGCAAACTCACTGAAAATTTTACTTTTTATTTTAGATTGTTCTTAGAGAGTAGATGGTCTCAGTCTGCCGTCATTTTGGCAGTTGTTGCAGTAATATTTTTCCACCTGGGGCTTGACTCAACCAGTTTCTGTGATTATCAGGCTCACGGGTGGGGAGAGTGCAGGAAATAGAGAAAAAGTTCACATGTTTGTATTTAACTACATTTTCTTCTCTCTCTGAAGAACTTAAGGTATATAGAGTCACATAGAACCACATAGGAGTATATCTCTCATGTAAGAAAAGATTGAGAACCCTTGATCTATGTGGAGGGTAGATCAGTAATATTGCTCCTCCCAGAGGTATTCCAAAAGGCTAAGCAGAGAGAATCTAGTCTCTAATCAGTGCTTGTTTATTCACAGCCCTAAACCAGGCTGTAGAACCCAACATAATCCTACCCACTCTGGGTGAATCCATTTTAGTAGAAAATTTCTCCAAAGTTGATCTGATTGTAAATATTAAACTGACATCTTTATGTTGCAGGTAAAGGACCTGGATAATCGAGGCTTGTCAAGGACATAAATGTCACGTCCAGCTCTGATATGCTTCGCACTGGGCACATCACATTTAGGACGTTGAAGATTTTTTTTTTTTTTTTTTTTTTAATATGCAGTTTGTAAGAACAAAGCTGGATGGCATTAGAATTGTCTGAAAGTTTTGTCCTGGGCAGTATGGGCTGGGCCAAATGAAATGACTTTTATAATTCTAAACAGGTTACCAAATGAAATGTCATGGCTTTACTTTGGTCAATTAAAGGGGGGAATTTTTTTTAAAAATGTGCCTTATTTGTTTTGACTGACAACTGATTTGAGGAAGGCAAAACTATCCTAGGTTGCCAGAAGGACATAAGCAGACCTTGTCCGTTCTCTTAGCTCCCTAAATTACCAAATAGAGACGTCTTTCTCAAATCAGGAAAACTATCAAAGACCAATTCAGATCCTACATCTACAGACAGTTTTGTCATACTCTTTGCATTGCAGCACCTAGTACAATTCCTTGCAAATAGCGTGGCTCAATAAATTTCTATTGAATGAATAAATGTGGGACCAGAAGAGTGCCTTTCTGGGCTGGAAAGGCAGGTGTGTTGCTACCATGTCTCTGTTCTCCATGTCTCTTATCCTTAGATGGTCTCTGACTTTATAAATCAGCAGTTTTGAAGACTCAAGACAAACAGTGAAATTATTGGTTTATCAATGGAGAGGAAAAACTCTTCCAGCATTACATATAGAGCTTGATGGTCAGTAGGTGTTTTTGAATCAGCTTAAATATAATCATACGTATCAATTTGAAATTGAACTTTTCAGCATTCTCACTTGTTCATGACACAGGAATGACCCTTTACTCAAAACTCTTGTGGTTATTCAAAGGTGAGCTTCTTTTTCCCTTAGTCTTAGCCTATTTGTTGCTATTGTATATTGCTAACAAGTTTAATTACCTAATTTTGAAGCTCTTTCCAAATAAGATACAAATTAAAAAGGGAAGCATTGCTAGTAACAGGTCCCTAGAGAGCAGTGCCAGCCTGCCTGCAAGAAAAGAGAGGAGAAACTTCTTAAAAAGTTTTAAGCCTGGGCAACACAAGGAGATTGTTTCTATGAAAAATAAAAATTAGTCAGGTATGGTGGTATACACCTGTAGTCCCAGCTACTTGGGAAGATGAGACTGGAGGATCACTTGGGCCTGGGAGGTTGAGGCTACAGTAAACTGTGATTGTGCCACTGTACTCCAGTCTGGGCACTAGTGAAATCCTGTCTAAAAAACAAAAAAACTTAACTGGAAAGCACAGTGGTCCTTGAGGACATTTAATGTCAGGACAAAGAGCCTATGACATGTATCACTGATGTATATAAACCCTAAGTCATTAATAAAGTAAAAGCTAACTGTTTAGTGTTGCCCATTTAAGGAAACAGGAGGAATTGTATAACTTTTAGATTAGTCATAGTGGTGCTCCTAAAGGATACACTGTTGTATATTTGTATAGCCAGGGCACTTAGCCTTCCAAACTAATTCATATACCATGTTCTTCAACTGTGGGTGAGGTTTTAGACTTAAGATTTGATTTACTATATGTAAATACATTACTTGATTTATATAAAGAATTCATCTTTAGTGGAAGAGGTTATTCTGATTTATTTATCAATATGATTAATACCAGTTAGAAATTATTAATGATCTTCCTTTATACTATAAATAGGATAACCTTTTAACTTGTCTCTATAGTTGTTGCTCTGAGGATCTTAATTTTACTTTCTAGGCTACATGAAGCTATCTTTTTTAAAAGTGTACTTTTCATTTTCACTGTTATTGTGCACTTAGTATAAAAAACTCAAATCTAGGCCAGGTGCAATGGCTCATGCCTGTAATCCCAATACTTTGGGAGGCTGAAGTATGCAGATCACTTGAG